TTCCTCTGAGGTTTTTGCTTCACAGTTTGCCGCCAATTCCACCTTACCCCATTTTATTACACCTTCATCTTCTTCTTCGCTGGCAACCCTTTTATACCTCATATCATATCATATCAGCACTAGGGAAATCCGTCAAACATGGAGCGCTCCCTAAACGCAAACAAACCACTCGGTCCGGACGGTATTCCACTCATCGTCCTCAAAATGTGTGCTCCCGAGTTAGCTTCTGTTTTACGCCATCGTTTTAGCCTCTACCTCCAACTTTCTGCCTTTACAACCCCATGGAAACACACCGTGATTTTTCCATTCCCAAACGCGGCGGCCTTTCTGACCCCAACAACTACCGACCCAGTTTTCCCACAAGTTCGTTCGAAAGTATTTGAAACTATCACCTCCGAACAACTATGCAAGTTCCTCGAACGTGAAGGACTACTGATCGACCACCAATGTGGCTTCCGACAGCTTTGTTCCACCGGTGACCTGCTGGCTCTTGTCTCACAATCCTGGTTGACTGCATTGAATAACCACAGAGAAACACACTTGGTCTCGCTTGATATATCAAAGGCCTTCGACTGAGTAAGGCACGGTTTACTGGCGAAACTATTTCTGTTCGGGTACTCTCCGGGTCTCGTGGCGTGGAAATCAACAAATTAAATCAGTACGCGAACCATCTCCGTCCGAATAGATGGGGTTCTATCTCAGTTGTTCCTTGTGAACGCTGGTGTTCCGCATTTGCGTCCACCATCTTTTTTCCATCTATCAATGATCTCCTCGCAAAAACCATGAACCCAATACATTCCTTTGTCGATGACGCCACCCTCCACTGCACTAATCCTACCGCACGACTCGCCATGTCCAAACTAACATCGATCGTGACCGTCGTGAAGCTGTCACTGGACTCTGATCTCGAACACATCTCCTCTTGGGGTAATGTCAACCATATTTCATTCAATGCTAAGAAAACCTTGATCCTTTTAATTTCTCTAAAACACTATTCATTCTCCCCCTCCCTCTTACTTACTTTTTTATTGTACCCAACTGCGTTTCCAAAACTCTGTTTACCTTCTTGGATTTTATATAATTTCTTCTTTAAGCTGATCCCCTTTTATGGCTCAGCTTGCTTCTCGCGCCGCGCGCAAGGTTGTTTTTATTTCGTGCCATACGCGTGTTCTCCTCAGCTCATCTTCTACTGTACAAAGCTCAAATCCACCCTGCTCTTGAATACCGCAGACACGTGTAGGGAGGAGCTTCATCTTCCTTTCGTTCTTTATTGGATCGTGTTCAGCTAAAGGTCATCCGGTTGATCGGTGATGTTTCCCTAACCTCCAATCTGCAGGCACTAGTTCATCGTCGGGCAGCTGCTTCACTGTTTCTGCTCTACCGCTACTAGCTGTTTTTTCTTCGTTTTTCGGAGCTTGCCTCGGCAGTGCCTCTGCCTGTAACTTTTGCCCGCTCACACGGGCATCTAGTCATCCTTATCAAATTTCGGTCACCAGATGTCGTACTTCTCTGGTCCAGTCTTCTTTTTTCACCGAACTGCCAAAATGTGAAACACTCTCCCAATTTTTTCCAACTTACACCCCTACACAATTGAAAAGCGGAATCAATAAACTGGATCTTACGTGAATGTTACCGTATTGTCCCAGATACGGTATACTCTCAGGCTACTTACTAGTCAACCACGGGATGGAGGGTACGTGACTAGAGGTCTACATAACTGCACTGTTTTAACAGAAAAGTAATCAATGGCGCCAGTTTCCGAGTAGTTTACAAATATTCTGTGCAGCCATAGGTGAACTGCTGAAAACGCATCATGTGCGCAAAAACTCACCTTTATTTCACTGGTTATGCACACGACAAATTCGGCTGAAGCAACTGCAGCCTCTATAGGACTGGAGCTAGTCGGGGGAAAATATCTACGTTATAAATCAAGACAGACATTTTGCGGTATGTCTATTTTCGGCGAGCCAGACAAATCACAGTACAATAATCTTTTTAAAAAGAACAAGGTCCATGATTTGCTCGAGGGTCGAATACTGCCAGGTTGCCCAAATGAAGGCAGGAAATTTTCTTGCCCTGTTCCACCAATATATTATATTCAATATATAGCGGTTGCATAAAGATGCACAAACTTCACAAATATCTTAATGAAAGTAGCTGAAGTACCTCTGTGAGTCACGCAGACGAAATGCTTCAGACTATTGTTCTCCACTGACAATCTACTGTTTTAACGCTTTTAATTATTTTGTCATTGCTTGATCAAATGGGCTATTAAAGGATAACAACCGAAACCAGTGCATGGAAGTGAGATTTTAGTGGTTGTACAAATTGAAACTGAAATGATTTGCTGTTCCACACTTTTACTGTACTTGTATTTTTAACGTGGGTAATGTAGAATGCGCTTTTAGTTGTCACAAGTAAAACAAACCGTGAACAGGCGGACGCTCCCAATCCTAGGTTTGGAGACTGTTTGTTGTTGCATTGTAAAAATAAACCTTTGCAACACTTGGTATGTGGCATTATCAAGAAAACAACTCACTTAAAGGACTGGTTGGTCGATCTGAAAGAGGTGTCACGTTCCCCTGTTGTAATTCAGCTTCAATGCATGCATCAAGTGAAGGCGATAAATCACCCCCAGCAACAGAATCGATGCCGGCCTGCAATGTCCAGTCCATTGTTGACGGAGAAGGTATTATTATTCCATCTCTGGAAAACTCGTCCACCTGGAAGTCCGATGTTGTCATTTGTTGTTGTTTTTTCAAACGATGAAGTCGTTTCAATTCGCGCCTCGCCTCACGACGGGCACGTTTTTCTTCTTTTACAAGGCGCTTAGCTTCCCGTTTAGCTGCTTTCATTGCACGTTTCTCTGCTCTTTTTTGTTTTCTAGCCAACCGATGAGCTTCACGACTTTCCGAATCCAATTCATAGGCGCCCATCGACTCGGTGTGATCTGTTGAATGGGTAACAGATGCCGACTGCGATTCGTCTTCCCCGTCAGATGGTTGTATGGAAGCTCCTTGAGTTTGTGATTGTC